AATAAAAATGCGTTGGATCAGAGTCAAGGAAAAATACATGAGTGGCCAGGAAGCGTCCGAGCACTCTGGACAGAACTTGTGTCTGGCGACAAGCTTCTCATGGCTGGATGGGACTGTGAGGGGCAGTGGAATGTGCCTGGATGTCCATTCTGCCCTGTACACTATCATGCTCTGAGATCACAGCCTCGGGGCAGCTGGTGGTGACCACTGAGAAGCAAAAACAAAGTGGCAGCAGTTTCCTGCCAACCCCCGCTTGCCTCCTGGCTTGGCTTGTGTGTCCGTAGCAGCTATGCCCTCGACCATCGTGTCTGCACTGCCCATAAGTGGCAGAATTGGAAAAACATGTGCATTGCCTGAAGTTCCTCAAATGAATTATGGAGGGTGCCTTTTCTGGGGCAAAGGACAGGGTGCACTCAAACAATAACACAGAATGTAGCTTGATAAACTAGCAGTAGCTAAATGAAAGCAGAATGCTCTTTGTTTCACTTTTGCACTTTGTATAAACACAGCGGACGGTGTAATGAGGAAAACGTTATGTGCGCTGTACACGCGTCAAAATCCGATCCAGCTTTTCAATGCACGGCAGGGGGAAATCACACACAGCCTATGAACGAATAGAAATACCATAAACTCCAGTGGGAATTCTAAGTCCTCTAATGGACACACATGCATGATATATGAGATTTTATATTTTAAACACATTGCCCACACACGCGTCCACCATATTATATTTTCATCTCACGGCTCTAATTAAAAGTAACCCACATGATATTTAAAACAAACCATATGATCATATTTAGTAGTCCCAGGAAGTTGATTGAGCACTTGACCAACTACCAGAAGGGTCGGAGTTCAAATAATGGTCGGAGATTGTCTCAGCCAACAATCCTATTGGGTAGACAGAATTATTACCACTTTAAATAAATTAATATATATTGTGTGAAAACAACAGAAAATGGCACCTGTCAAGATGATGAGGAATTTCCACTCCAGGCCGTTGTATGCGCGCCTTTTCTTGTTATTAATATTGTGATTGTCTATTAGAGTATGTTGGAGCAAACAGTACCTATGCCCGAGAAGGGACATCACAACCTCCATTGAAGTTGAGTGCCAATTCATGAGTATATTTCTGGCAAGGCAATTCGTAAAAATCCCTCAGTTTTTATGAATTATGCACATTATACACCTTCCTTTGTGCCTTTTATTGCTAGAGTAATGACAAAAATATTTTATCTAGCCCAAAAGCCATCGATGTTCAGGAGGTTTGAGGGAGCAAAGAGAGGGCATGCGTCGTGTCTTTACAGCAGAAGAAGGAACTCTACATTTAGTCTTTTCCCCCATTTAGGCTGCCACATTAATTCAATTTCGCTTCATGGGGCAGTCGTATTCAAGGAGAAATCATCTGACAAAGGTGAGGCATCACAACGGAGGCACAGACAAAAGCACACAGCTTACACAAACAGTGCATGTTGCTCAGGGGTAATAAAATTAGTACACCATGTTGGACAGTCAGAAGTGCTTGACCCCTGGATATACTGGTTCCCAACATAGCAATGTATAACTTTAACTACTGTGCTGACACAATAAGTATAACTGAGATGAGCACCACACACGTGCTTGTTTGAATATGCCAATACTCAATTTATTTCCATAAGAAGTCTGTTGCTCTTTATCGCTGTGTGGGTGTGCTATGTGCCAATGCAAGGGCCGAGTTTGTTGCTCCACTCCCAGGCTACGGATGATTGTGTGGAAGTCGTCCAGGCCCTATCAGTGCAGGCCCACGCTATCATTAGCTCACTGGCTGATAGGGCATTCCAAGGGCACGCCGTAACGGCTTTGGTCCACTTTTTTTTTACATTGTCTCTTTCCTTTCTCACGGGAAAAAAATACTGCCCGCTATGTGTGTGATGACCAATTTGATTGTTCCGGTAGCAGCCATTAAAATGAAACCACAACTTATTCATGTTTTGGCAATTCCACCCTTTGTTGTGTTGAAAAATAAAATAAAGGCAGAAGAAAATGTGAATGTACTCAAGCGCTAATGTCATAATGCTCAAATTCTCAAGAAAACTGCACTTCTATTCAAATTCAAGAATATCTGAAAAAACAGCCACAAGCATTAAATTGCCATGGAAATTATTTGGAGGAAATATTAAATGCTTTTTGGGCATCCGCCTAAGATCCTGAGTTTTAATAATATTAACCACAATGTAATAGAGTGGTTAATTTGAAACATCTCTACCATGAGAGTGTATCTAGGTTACGTGGTTTAACACCATAAACTTTAATCTTGAATTAAACACTAAATTCTCGAACATGTACATAAATAAATAAAGTACTACAAATTTTTTTTTTTTACATGGAATAGGAAATTGCAATTGCTCAAAAAGTATCTTCCAACTGTTCACAGGGGTGGAGCGGTGGGGCAGTAGTTCACAGACTGTGCTGTAAACCCGATCACCGAAGTTTGATTTCTGGTCACAACTAACATCAGTGGTGAGAACTATACGAACCGGGCCGAGGACAATTATTGAAGGTGGACTTGGACCTAGGTTATTCAATAAAGAGGTGAGCGGGAGAAAGTGGGAGAAAGTGTAAGCATTTTTTGTAAAATTGTATTTAAAAATGAAAAGTAACATACCAATGTGCCCAAGAGGAATGGTTTCAATCAGCGCCTATCTCCTGCTATTACATGAACAAAACATGGATGCTGACAAATAAAATTGATTAAAACCGAAAAGCTGTCGAAGAAAGAAGCACAAAAGTGACGTACAATGGGAATTAAACCGAGAGACGGAAAGAGACACATATGCAGCGAGAGAAAAAAAAGAGGCAGCATTATAACAATTTCACAAACTCAAATTGTCAAATATTATAATACTGAATAAAATTCGAAATTTGGCCTAAAAATCAGAAAATTGTATTTCTGAAAAAATTTAATATTCAACTCACCTCAAGTAAACTGGCTCAGTATTGACCACGACAGCTACTGTCAGCCCCCGAGTAATACGACTACGTTTTTGGAAAAACTGCCACTTAAACTTTATACCAAGTGAGTCATTTCCCACGAAAAAAAACCCCATTTCATCCATTATAAACTGTGTACAGTATATACTAAAGGCAACGTATTTGCCAGCAAACCTGGATTACACGTGCAAGGTGGTTAGAGCACAAAAGCTTAACAAGGCAAAATCGCACCACCTTTCGACCGTATGTTTATTACAGTATGTAGAAAGCAGTTATGTCCACAGGGTACAATAGTGCCTCCTGCTGGTTAGCTATGGACGTACATACTCAGAATTGATGCACGGACGTCAGGTTACTCTTGCGTGGTGTTATTCGTTTGGACACGTAGTGACGTGATGATCCATGCGCTGTTAAAAGCTTTCATCTCACCGTGATGTTCTCCCCAGGTGAGAATGGAAGTAGTGTTTAATGATATGCCTTGTTGAAGCCCGGTCACCATTGCATAACGTCCCTGAAGTGAATTTTCACCTTTTAAAAAAAAACGAATTTACATTACAAGCGAAGAGAAAACATCACGCAACATTTTGTAGGCAACCGACCACGAACCCTGACACCTGGCTCAGGTTTTCGTTTGAACCGAATTTTATTTTAAAGTATGGAGTGGTGGCACACTGGAGTATAAATCCGGTAACTTGAGTTTAATTCCTGGCCACGGCTACCGTCAGCGGTGGGTGATATATGAAACGGTCCTGGGAAGCTCCTTCCTTCACCAACCTGATATGCTCAGCATGTGGAAGTATTGGTCAAACAAACCCAATAACAGATGTGGCATCAGGAGGCCTTCGTCCAGCAGTGAATTCGCAAAGGTCTGCACTTTATTTTAACGAAGTTCATAAAAAAAGGACATTCTGTGAACTTGTTTGTTATTCGAGGCAAAAAGTGGTCCCTACCATAGTAATGTGGGCTGTCAGAAATTGCTCAGGGCTGCCACGGAGGATGAATACCACCAATTGATCGTGTAAGGAAACGTATTATTGTTTATAACCCTTTTATTCAACGTGCAGTATTTACGGTGTTTATTCATTGTGTTGTATAGTTTAACAAAAATCTCTGCACGGGTGACAATGTGGCAGACCGACTGGCTTCCATTTAAAAGGTAAAATCCTGGTTGAATGTCAACTCAACATGTCATACGTCTGGGGTCAATAAAATGTGGCAATATGGTCATTGCACAATTGGAGTTTATATACTGTATTTGAAGTGACTTGCAAATATGCTACACTGTTCAAATAACAAATGTTTGAGGTGGTGCTTATGCCAGAAATGTCATTGGCAGCATTTACATTTCTCATTAACAAAGGACTGTTTGCTCAGATGAAAACACTTTGGATCAGGAACGAGCGTTAGCAGTGGCACCGTCTAGTTTCAAGGCCTAATAATTTATTGATCCATCACACTCGTGTTGTCAGAATTTTAAATATGCACACATGTGTAACCTTAACAAATGAATGCACTTACAAACGGAGTGTGTCTGTGCAAAAGTTGGCTCTGACTTCTCTAAATAGTCACGTGGGTTTGTTGTTGAAATGATAAAAACAAGTACTGTTTCTTTTGTTTTCCAGCAAGTCCATTCGAAACTTGCCTAAACTAAAGACGACGTGCTGCAACATAGTTGGTGAGCAATGTGGTGGCACAGTATGAAGGTGTCTGCATACTCACCTTTTGCCAGTCCTTTTAGAAAACGTGAATTGTTCAAAACAAGCTATACAACCTAAATACTTTCCACCATTAATATGTACTCCTGTAATTGATTAGGTGTGTGTTGGTCTGTATTTACTTCATTTGTCCCGTTTCTTTCAGTCTGCTTCTTATTTGAACACATGTGATGTAGTGAGGAAACCCTTGACAACATTGTGTGCATCTTCATTTTAACATACAAATAGAATTTGTATAAATCTCATTTCACTGGGTGGTGGCACTGTGGTGAGAGCACTCGACGTGGAAGATCAGAATCATCTTTAGTCTAAAGAATCATAAAGGAATAGGGCTCCCTAATAGACTTAATAAGTATAACTTTTATCCTGAAATTTAACGCAAACCCTTCTTTCTCCAGAACAGCAGAGAATATGACAATGTTGCATGACCGTGGGCATGGATTGTGTGATTATATCTATCCCGCATGAACAAAGCGCAAGGAACAAACCCTTGCCGGCCACATACGGCAGAACGGGAATCACAATTGGGAATAAGCCAAATGAATATTATAATCTTCTCCAAACACCGAGTGGGGCTCGATATTATGCATTGGGGACAATATGGATGGCACTGGGCAATAGACAAAAAAACATTCAGCATGTGCTCCTCGCTCATAAATACAAATACATTTGCGTATAAAATATTTTACCATGAAAATCATGCACATGTATGCATGTTGAACTTCTTTCGCACCACATGTAGCCGACCCGTGCAAATCGGAGGTGCTGGGAAAGCAAAACGAGTTATTTTGAGAGTGTATTGAGCCTCGAAAGCCACCAATGCATGCAGATGTACTGGACAATATGTGAAAAAGAGCTTTATAGCTCGTCGGATTTCTCCAGTATAAACAAATATTTCTGATTCTGCTTGCTCTGCCGATCCCTGTTCTCACCCCTTCATCGCCTCTCTCGATCCACGCCCTCTCCCTCCCCGTTTCCCATGTGCCTCTTTTCCTCACCCTCTCTTCCAGCTCTTTGTCTCGCTCTTCTCATGTTTCTGCTGCTGCTCGTTGCCACTGAGGCTCTGCGGTAACACGCCGACGACCACACACGGCCCTCTGTGTCATTTGCAGTGCTGTAAATCTGCACGGTCGAGGCATGCAATATGTATAATTAACATAGTTGGACAATTATTTTCGCGTTAACGTAGAGTTTGTTCTCCTGGAGGTGTTGGAGCAGAGCCATTTGGCGTGGGATTTAAGCCACAGCAAGGAGCTGCCAGGTATTGCAACAGTTACAGGTTTGGAAACATTACGTTTGTAACATAATTAAAGACCACATGTGCAATTCACCTGTCGTTACATAGCCTTACCCACATAGTCATTTGATTAAATGCCACACAGAGGTTGTATTACATTCTTGAAATGCATTAGACAATTTTTGGTGTATTTAGTAACTTAATGTTATGCAATGTACAATTGATTTACCGTGGCTACCTACATATGGTGTTATAATATAAGGGAGCGGTAGTGTAGCGGTTAGCGCACTGCGCTATGAACCCGGCGACTCGAGTTAGATTCCCGCTCACGGCCACCACCAGTGACGATTATTTGAACCGGTCCTGAGCCTCCCCTAGGTCGACTCTGCCTCAAATGAGTACCTGGTGTGGTGTGTAAACATCGCCACTCGGGAGACAAAGGCGGTCGGGCGTGGCGCTGGTCACCCACCCCCTCGTGTACTGTGCCAGCCTTCATAGGTGCTCGCTAGCAGCACTTGCCCCAACATGGTGTGTTAACGCTATACAGGTGATCTTTGTATGGTGTTATAAACCGTTTAGTATTGTAATATTTTTGTTATATTATTGTGTATTATGTTATGTATCTACTGATACAGAGACTATTATACTTTTACCATTGCAGTGCCTAGCATCATTTATTTCCTCGAATTATCTGAAACTGAATGGGCTTCATCTGGCTATAGAGAAAATTATAAATATATGCATACTAGCTTAAAAACCCGGCGTTGCCCGGGCCAAAAAAATATTTCAAAACTACTCTTAAAAATCTAACAGCAGTGCGTACTGACTTGCCTGTCACGTATATGAAATACAGCTTACAATCTAATATATGTCATTTTATTATTATTTGTTCTATCAACGTGGCTTTACCGAAAGACCCAAAGAATATGAATTCCTGCAGTCACGAAAGCTTTAAGTCAAGATTTAAAATAATATACTGTATTTTAAGGGAATGCGCACAAAGGTGCAGGCACAGGTTTCCTGACACACATTGTGAGTCTCCCTGACACACAATGTGAGTCTTCCTGACACACATTGTGAGTCTCCCTGACACACATTGTGAGTCTCCCTAACACACATTGTGAGTCTTCCTGACACACATTGTGAGTCTTCCTGACACACAATGTGAGTCTTCCTGACACACATTGGTGAGTCTTCCTGACACACAATGTGAGTCTTCCTGACACACATTGTGAGTCTCCCTGACACACATTGTGAGTCTCCCTGACACACATTGTGAGTCTTCCTGACACACATTGTGAGTCTTCCTGACACACAATGTGAGTCTTCCTGACACACATTGTGAGTCTTCCTGACACACATTGGTGAGTCTTCCTGACACACAATGTGAGTCTTCCTGACACACATTGTGAGTCTCCCTGACACACATTGTGAGTCTTCCTGACACACATTGTGAGTCTTCCTGACACACATTGGTGAGTCTTCCTGACACACATTGTGAGTCTTCCTGACACACATTGTGAGTCTTCCTGACACACATTGTGTCTCCCTGACACACAATGTGAGTCTTCCTGACACACATTGTGAGTCTTCCTGACACACATTGGTGAGTCTTCCTGACACACATTGGTGAGTCTTCCTGACACACATTGTGAGTCTCCCTGACACACATTGTGAGTCTTCCTGACACACATTGTGAGTCTTCCTGACACACAATGTGAGTCTTCCTGACACACATTGGTGAGTCTTCCTGACACACATTGTGAGTCTCCCTGACACACATTGTGAGTCTTCCTGACACACATTGTGAGTCTTCCTGACACACATTGTGAGTCTCCCTGACACACATTGTGAGTCTTCCTGACACACATTGTGAGTCTTCCTGACACACAATGTGAGTCTTCCTGACACACATTGTGAGTCTCCCTGACACACAATGTGAGTCTTCCTGACACACATTGTGAGTCTTCCTGACACACATTGTGAGTCTTCCTGACACACATTGTGAGTCTTCCTGACACACATTGTGAGTCTCCCTGACACACATTGTGAGTCTTCCTGACACACATTGTGAGTCTCCCTGACACACATTGTGAGTCTTCCTGACACACATTGTGAGTCTTCCTGACACACATTGTGAGTCTCCCTGACACACATTGTAAGTCTTCCTGACACACATTGTGAGTCTTCCTGACACACATTGTGAGTCTTCCTGACACACATTGTGAGTCTCCCTGACACACATTGTGAGTCTCTCTGACACACATTGTGAGTCTTCCTGACACACCTTGTGAGTCTTCCTGCATCAGACCGGTAGACACTGTGTTAAAACATTTTTGAGTCATTGTCGAAAATTTGAAGTGAAAATATCGTGCCATTTGGGGAAGCCTAGAGTCGTTCATGTGCATGTTTCACGTGCTCGTCACCCATTGAGCTTGCCCAGCAACAGAACTTGCTCACCAATAAATAATGGAGCGAGGCTGGATGTGGCTAAGGGGGGTGAAGCGATATGCTTGTGTTAAAGCAATTGGCCGACACTGATGGGCCCTACATTCGAATCTCAGGCTCCAGCCAAGATCAAACGAGGATTCTCACGAGTAGTGCATTTTGTATGCCTTAACCCTTTCAATAACTGCTAAATAAATGTCCATGTATGTATGTATGTTAAACTTATTTGGCACTGTACGTAGTCAACCGTGTTAATCGGAGGTACAAAAAGCAAGCAAGCATACGTGTAGCAGTTATATTCCAAATGGCGTGATACAGTTTGTTTTATTCGACAATTTGACGTTAAAATTGATGTATTAAATCTTCTGAGAGCACTAGCTCGGATCGTCTATTGAGTATTTGAGCCATTCGTACCGCCCATATCTATTACGAGGGCTTCACGTTTCACCGGCAGATAAAGTCTGCCAGTAGGGGGCAATGTTGCTCCGTGGTTTTACCGAATTAAGTACGATCATTGAAATATAGAGTACATTTACTGATAGTGTACAAGAGAAGGTATGAGTATTCTTAAATATTCATTGGTATTGCATGAACCTCAGAAAATCAGTTTCAAGAGTAACACCTTTGCAGTTACCAAACTTGGAAACATCCTTATAGCTTTACAGGTAGGCTTCCGCGACCAATATCATCCATAATATAGTTTTTTATGGGTTAGATCGCGATCTATCCCAAAAAAACCTATATTATGGAGGCTTATAGCTTGCCATCCGATTGTCCATAGCATAGCTATTGGACACCACATGAGCATTTGAAACGTTGAGTATTGTAGAAAAAATACTGTCATAATATGTAATACTCCTCAGATTAACTTTGCATTTGAAATGGCACTGCATGCTTAATGAATGCAGCGTGGGGTTAAAGACAGGTTGTATTACTGTACTCCAGCTGTCAATGTGCCGACAAACGCTCTTGTTATATAGAGTAATGTGACACACTATTGCATGATTCGTGTTTGGTTTGCATTGCTCAATTGGCTGGCTTAATACTGGTGACAGCAATGCCCCATTTATATGCTGGTCGCAGCCATGCAAACTAATGCAGCTAGCCACTTTAACTTCCTTATAGGAATCGTTTCTCATTTAAATGATATACAGGATGTGCAAGCACCTGATGTATGATGGTGTAAAAGGCAATATATTTCCTCTACGCATTTTTCAACTGCAGTACTGCGTTTCCAAATAGTATTATTTCTGTGATCTATTTACAAAAAAAAATTCATGGATATCCCTATATACAGCTGCGTAAAATTGCAGAATGACACATAAGGGACATGGTAGACATTTCCCAAATATTCTTCAAGGACCTGTTTTAAACAGTAAAGTCTGCTTTTTTTAGAGGACTGATTGATTGTTTTGCTAGATTCTCAGTGTTAAACTCGTTTAGCATTTGCAAGGAAGAATACATTATGCTAAAAATTTCTCTCAAGGCTTCATTGGATAACAGATATTTGGTCTCACATGGTTTTAAATAAAGTTGTGAAGCTTATTATGATGTAAAAAGTGACGTGTATGTATCATAGTGGGGTCCAGTTGCCTATAGAACAAAAACTCTTGACTTTTCATAAATCGGTACTTTCACAGTATTGACATCAGATAGGTGTTGCTCTGAATCAGTCCCCAAGCATGATATGAATTCGTTAACTTCCGATTGTTTGTTGTACTTTCTGGCATAGTGCCATTAGGCCAGATTATAATAACGGTGGTGACCAGAAATGTAGTCACGGGAATATATAGGTAAACAGAGTTTATATACATATTTGTTATGAGGTTGCTATATCGGGACATTGAGCCAGTTAATTGAACTCAGTGTTTTGTATTTGCTACTTGGCAGTACCAAGATAAAACCCATATATATGATGGGACAGCACCTTAAAGTCAACACAAATGGGTTAGAAACCAATTTATCCTGACTGCCATCTGACTACCCCACAGCCCGGTGAGTTTTCGAGTCTCACAGCAATTGATGATTATGATTACAATAATGATCTCTGTGTGGTCCCCCAACCACTCCCTCTAAACCGCTGGATGACTCAGGTGTGCATCGCTGCCACGTGTGAACCACACGGGCTCGAGCCACACGTGCTTGGCACGTGGGCACGATGAGCCAGCTCATCGAGCAGCTGCTGACGTGTGCCGTGTGCCTGGAGCGCTACCGCCGGCCCCTGCTGCTGCCGTGCCAGCACACATTCTGCGCCGAGCCATGCCTGCAGGGGCTGGTGGACGCGACGGGACGCAGTGTGCGCTGCCCCGAGTGCCGCGCCACCCACGCGCTGCCCCGAGCTGGCGTCCACGGCTTCCCCTCCAACCGCACCATCACGGGATTCCTGGATGTCCCACTGATGCAGCGGCCGCAACAGGATCAGCAGCAGCCTGTGACGGCAAGGTCGTCGTCGGTGGAAAGGGGCGACCGTGAGGTCGATGTGAGGGCAGCCGACGACCCCGCGTCCCGAGCGTGCAAGTGCTGCGGGGAGGTGAAGGGTAGCGTTGGCCTGTCGCTGTGCTACCACTGCGACTGGTACCTCTGCGGGTTGTGCCGACTGTCCCACTCGCACCAGATCAGGCAGGAGATGCACAAGGACGTCCTGCGGCTACGGGGAAGTGGCCAGGTGCTGAGCGACGCCGTCGGAACCCTGGAGGAACGCTCCTCGGACGTGCGGCGGGAGGGCGAGACGGCCAGGTCGGACGTCTCGGCGGCCGTGCAAACGTGCTTGGGGAGACTGCGAGACCGCGAGAAAGCCCTCCTCAACAGCGTGGAGGCGCTCGTCAGCTCCGAGGTGCATTCGCTGCAGCAGAAGAAGCGCAACTTGGAATCCAAGTTGGCCGCGATGCTGTCCTACTGCGACGTGGCCGAGGGCAAGCTGGACGGGACCAGCGGCGCTCCCCTGGCCGAGGAAGAGCTCTTCAAGCTGCACAAGCAGCTGCGGGAATTGTCGACCCTTGTACAGCATCAGGGCTGCTCTGTCCCGACCCAGGCCATCACGTGTTCCTTGCAGAACGTCACGCAGCTGCTGTCCAACATTGACAGCTTTGGGCACGTGACCGTAGGGGGTCAAGCCGAAGGGCATCACAGTGACAGCGCAGGCTCCTTGATGTCCGACCTTGATGGGTTTTTGCCCACGCTGGTAGTGTCCAGTGGCTCCCAGAATTCACTGAATCCGGTGGTGAGGAGACTGAATTCCCTGCCTCCGGTGAGGGCGACACGGAGGGGGCCACTAAACCCGAGGACTGACAGCCGTGGCGTTCACAACCACAACGGAGTCGACGTGGAAAGACATGACAGCACACGGGTATGGAACATAGCGTGTAACTAAGTTTACTCAGCCGTTATCTGCCTGGGTTGTGCTGTGTTCGAACAAATTTGCTCATTCAAATCCTTGTCAGGATTCACCTCCGCCCATCATTCTTTTATAGTCAAGAAAATGAATATCACTTTGTAAGAATGTAAAAGTGGTTGTTATTTTGAGAGATGGGCCCCTACTTCAAGATCTGGAAATTCCAACACTTAGCTCAGCCTATCCTACTTTGGATATCCTGGTCAGCTATGGATAAACTAGCCCCCTTTGTATAAGTTCACATTGTGCACCACTGACTTTGAGTTACCAAAATGAACACCACCCAATGCTTATTTGAGCAATGTGTATTGAATGTTGCAAATGTCTGCCAGATAGTGAACGGCGACTAGAGCAAGCAGCCAGCACTAACATGCAGGGCAAATGGGCAGCAGGTGTCGTGTGTCCAGGAGGACGGCAGCTCTCTGTGGCCGAGCGGACGCCGGCTCCTCCAGCACTACCAGCAGAAGGGGCGGCCGCGCCTCCGGTTCGGCTGCAAGGGAACCGAGGAGGGCCGCTTCACTTGGCCCCGAGGCCTGGCCGTTACGCCTGAGGGGCATCTCATTGTCGCCGACAGCAGCAACCACCGTCTGCAGGTGAATGCGCGCTCCACATTCGGATTACAGTTCCCCTGCATCGTCCGAGTTGCCAAAGGCACGGTCTAGTGCAAAGAACGCACGCATGCACGAATGAGCGAATTAATGGTAAGAGTCAGCGATTATCAAAGCACATAATCTATACAGTTGCAATACTGATCCATTGGATGACTTGACATTTTTAGTTTAAGGGACATCATGGATTTTGTTGTAACCTTTAAAGTTGGTTAACTCCATGTGGTTTTATGTAAAAAAAAATACTTGAAGGTCTGCCTATAGTTGTCATCACTTCTAGGGATAATCTTGAACAATGATAGACATCTGATGAATATATTAAGTTTATACACATCTGATGAAAATGCGTAGTGGAGATGATATGGTCATTGTTAATTATTTATATGAAAACAAACTATGAGCATGAAGTATTTGTATATTTGTTTGGTGAGTTTGCAAAAGAGCTGACTCCATAATATGTAGAATTCTGAAACCAATAAAGGTAAAAGAAGACATGGACCTTAGTGTATGATCTTGGAGGTGATATAATGGATACTGCAAAACGATTTACAATTTTTTTAATATACATTTTTAACCCCCACCTAATTAGAACTAACAGAATAAACAATAAATATAGAAAAACTCCTCTTACATACCAAGTGGGAAAAGTGCATGTTTCTCATACAGTGCTGATGGTATTGAAAAAAATAATTATAAAAATAATTCTACAAGATCCTTGAAGATGCAAGTGACCAAAGTGTAATGTTTGTCGTTCCACTAGTGAAATTACTTCAAAATATGTGAAACTTTGAAAAAGCTACGGTAGCACTTTGAAGGGCCTCTAAGTGGACGATAATCGCATTGTAGGTGCCACCTGCTCTGTCCTTAAGAGTGGGCAGTGCAGTGGTGCACTGGTTAGCGCACTGCACTACGCAACACCATTGGTGTTTGTGTGCCGGTCAAGGGCCTCCCCTAGGTCGACTCAGCATCAAATGAGTTCCTGGTGTGGTGTGAAAACAACGCTACTTGGGGATAAAGGTGACCAGGCGTGGTGCTGGCCACCCACTCCCTCGTGTGCTGTGCTGGCCTTCATAGGTGTTCGCTAACAGCACTTGTCCCAACAGTTTGTTAAGGCTATACGGGGGATATTTGTCTTTTGCACATGAGAGTTCACGGATCTCAAGTGAAAACATTTATTTTGGAATTATCTCTTCAATTGTCAGCCAGGCTGTGACGCGAGAGAGGTGAATTGAATGGGCTCTTGAAATGAAATGAAATAGGCCATTTAATGTAGCTGTAAAGGTACAGTCGTGTACAAATTACACGAAGTAAAACATTTAAGACACAATAACACTTTGCTTCTCATTGGTTACGGTAATCTAACTTTTTTGTATTTGGATCAAGCCAAAGAGATTAATGGTCAATCATCAAGATTATGCAGTTAACAATGTAAATAATATGGATTAATGACTCTAAAAGGCCAAAGAAATACTTCTCCGTCATAGAACAAGTTTTTTGGCATTTTCAGTAACCTAAAAGAGGCATCAGAACACTGAGTGAGCCAACAAGCATCTTGACTTCATTATTGCTCATCAGCCTCCCCAAGCCAACTTGCATCTCACAATCCTGTGAAGTAATAATCCACCTGGCACCTGCACACAACCTGATTTAATCACTCCATTTCCTTGGTACATGTCCTTTTGGCTGTAGTTCATTCCTTGTGCTGCAGCTCCATTATTATTCTTGACAATCGAGCATCATCCCTTCTCGCATACATAGGTTTTCTCCGGGTGCTCCAGTTTCCTCCCACTTTATACACATATTTGTGCAAACATTCATCATTAATTGACTGAAAACATCTTTCTTTTTGCTCGTAATTTTTCTAAGACCAGCTTTGAAGCCTTCCTTATTAAGTTATTTTAACATTTTCTGCAGCCCATTTAAATTGGACGTAATAGTGACGGCGTCATCAGACAATCTGAGATTAGATTTGCTTAAAACTTAAGTGTCAGAAAACATAAGGTTCAACAAACATTAATGTTAGCGATATTGCACGTAATAAAAGACATAAATATAAAGCCACTTATCTTGTGCAATTATTTATTGCTATGAACAAGATACCAGCGACAAGTTAGTCATTAAAAATAAATTCTGTTGCTAAGCCAGTGTGAATAACAGGTGCTTACATTTCACTCAAGAATCATAGAAAATCTAAAGGTTGTCTGATGTTTGTGTAGAGCCACATTAACTATTGAGGATGGCAGACCGAAGGTGTCCGAGTTTTAATTACCAGCTCATGAATAATACAGGCGTGAAGGTTATGGCTCAAGTTCACGTGCATGGGCGCACACTACAGCTCCAAGGTCATATTGTTATGTTTCCATGGTCACACACAGCAGAAGCAAGTGTTCAGTGTTAACAAATCCTCCAACAAAACAAGAGGTTAAGGTAACACTTCAGCACTACTCAAATATCTCTCGAGAGGGCCCCACTCAGGAAATGTGTGCTGGTATAAATCATTGCAAAGAAGCCAGCGGTCTTTTTGCATTTCACAGCACTTAAAGAATGATGGTCAAATATGCCAATTAATACCAAACATACTTGCTCAAATCATATTACTCTAATACCAGACATATAGGATGTGGAAAGCAGATTTAGCTAAAAATGGTTGTTCCCTTTATATCGGTGTTCTGTCAATACTCTGATTGCTTCAAACAAATAAAGAATATCCAAACATCGTCATGCAGAACCCCTTTGAAAAAATGTCCACTAATTAACGATTATTGTTGTTATTATCATGAATGCTGATGGGTCCTCACTTTGTTCAGCCGAGGAGTCTCACCATATGGTTATCCAGCCGCCTATTGCATTTTACGGACTGCTCCTTGTCTGGCTCCTGGCAGGTGTTCGACTGGAGTGGAAGGTTCATCCGGGCCATCGGCTCGCACGGCTCGGGTGATGGCCAGTTTGACTGCCTCTCGGGCGTAACAGTCAACGCTCAACTGGGCCTCATCCTCGTGGCTGACCGCTACAACCACCGTGTGCAGATCTTCGACCGCACAGGCCGATTCCTGCGGGCATTCGGCAGGGAGGGTGCGGGACGTGGGCAGCTCAGCTACCCGTGGGGTGTGGCGTGTGACTCTTCGGGCCTTGTGTATGTCTGTGACAAGGACAATCATCGTGTGCAGGTAAGTGTCAGATCTTGAATTCGAGAAATTTTCTTTTGGAACCAGAGAAGATTAGAATTGAAGAGATTGTGATGATAATGCTTGGGAAATAAAAACGTTTGTTGTTGTACATTGGCGGATTAAAAGGCTAATGCTATCCCAGCTATAAAAACAAATGTTCGTACACAATTGATACTTGTCATGCGGCACACCAATTTATTTTAAAGAGAGGGTGTGAAAAAACACCATTTAGTTTTAGGTAAGAGAGGTCCATTGAAGTGACTGCATTTAGAAAACGGTACCTTTTATAGTTTGTATCTGATATAATATAGTCTGCTAACTGAACATTTGAAAGGCAGATTCTTTATCTCATAACATTACTCCAAAAATTGCGAAATTACTCTATTAAAATTGCCGTTCTGTTGCGCGCATGTCTGTTTATGACCCGAAGGCAATGATTGATATTCCATATTCATAAAGCACTTTTGATTTCCTATATTATTGACCATGGTTGGATGCTGATCACCAAGCTTAACCCTTTTTAATGGGATTGGAAATCGCAACCTTCTCACTGTCATTAGAGTGGTTGACTACAACTACCACCTGCCTAGACGTCCTACCACTGTTCTCCAAAGACTTTCTCCCAACATATGGTCTGCAGGTGTTCTCGCCGGACGGTGTGTTCGTGCGAGGCTTCGGTGGCCCTGGCAGTGGCGAAGGCCGCCTTGACCACCCGCACTACCTCGCCGTCACGCCCCAGGGCCGCGTGGCCGTGAGTGACTGTGGGAACCACCGCGTGCAGATATTTGACCGATACGGCCGCTACATCAGCAAGTTGGGCGATAGCTCGGGCTCGGGCTCTGGGCCCGGGCAGATGCGGTATCCACGCGGCGTGGCAGTGGATCGCTCTGGGAACATCGTGGTTGCGGACAGCGGCAATAATCGCGTGAAGGTGTTTCGGCCCGACGGGACTTTCCTACATGCGTTCGGGAGCTGGGGCAGCGAGGATGGGCAGATGAAGGGGCTGGAGGGCCTGGCGCTCCACGCAGGGGACATTGTTGTCTGCGACCGCGAAAATCACAGGATTCAGATCTTTTAATAAAGCAGCCACTCTACGTTTCTAATATTTCAATAGCCTTGAAGCCAGTCCTGGATTTAGTTACGGAGCATCAATTAGAATGACAGCCTGATAAAAAGGCATGGGTTCACATGGCCTGGTCAACAGACCAATACATAATCACCGATATTAAGAGTTAATTGCTGATTTCAAAATATGACGTTGGAGACAATAATAATACTAGATTCGAAGTTTTCGTGGCTGCAGGAATTACTCTTTGGTTCTTTCGGTAAAGTCACGTATGACTTTACCGAAAGAACCAAAAAGTAATAATCATACTGTAATTTGTTTCCAATGGGTGGGAGGAATGACTCGGCTTATTTAAGTCAAAATGTTCTTAACCTCGGTGAGTGTACTGGATGGATTCTCGAATTAGTCTTGGCCAGATCTCGAAAGATGATGGGGTTCATCAATGATGACGTCATCCTGCACTATTTAAGACCGGAAGCAGGTGGATGGCTTCACTATTCTGGCAAATCGCCCGAAGATTCTGGATGTAATTACCAGTGAAACGTCGTACTCAAATTCTAAATGTTGTGGATTCACTCTTCAAACACACCAGTGGGCTGAAGAAGTAACTAATTGGCGTTTTGTTAACATGACACATTTTTTACTGATTGGCCGTGTCGGGTGGTGAAAGGTTGCGACACATTTATAATAATGCAATCTAACCCAAAAACCTTTATGAGTATGTGTATACTTTCGTAAGATTTTAAATCGTGGAATTGTCTTCTCCTAAAAGTCACTTTTGGAGTCATGTAATGCTTGCTGTTGTGCATTGTATTTCCTGGAGTGTATTAACTGTAATTGAACCGTCAGTGAAATTATAATTGTGTTTACTTAAAAACATACACACTGCAGCCTTAATATATTTGCTTACAGTATGCATATATTTTGTATGTGTCCTATAGTTTATAAACAACGTTTTTCTACTACGTAAACAGCACTTATACAAAAATTTAGTTAATTGAAAATGTAGTTTGTTTTACTTAAAATCGGTGTGGACTTGGCTGTGAGTATAAAACAAAGATTTGTTTTGAATCTGCAGTGCATTTTTATATACCAGTCGAGATAATAGAGCAACAATATGTTTTTTTCCATAAATAATGTTGTAAACTCCTGCTGTCATTAATCAACATGCTGTATTTTATTGATGCAGTTGAGCCTTTTGAGATTTGGTTTATTTTGAATTTGTTGTACAGTCACAGCCATCATTAAACCTGCAAGAAAATTGCAGTGCGTTTAACGTGTTTTGTATTTCCACTACTCTTTCAACGCAATCCACATTAATTTCACGAATGCTGTTGAAGTTTCACGGTTTTCTTCTAGTTCTATTCATATTTCAAAGACCTGCATTGAACTCCAAGAACTGGCTCACATCCCGTGGAAATTATTGGAAAAGTATCTGTTCGTGATTGCCTTCCATCAGTGTTTTACGATTAGCAACGAGGGATTGGGTCATTATCGGGTTCAGCCATTTGTAACCTAATCAAGCACTTTAAAAGATTAAGAGTGAAGGCTCAGTACTGGCAAAGCGACCAAACTTCCTGTTTTGACCGGGTCAGCACACGTCTTAGAAATGCTGTTCCGGTATCTCAAAGCCGTAGTTTTTTTTCTTCAGTTTTTTCAGTTTCATGTATTAGGTATAGCCCTGTGAGCCATGCGGCTCTTGACTCGGGTGCAACAGCGACAAACAAAAACATGAACAAGAAACAACTTAAAGTGACTACGCGCAACAGAAAAATCCATGAAAAAACAGCATAATCTTCCAGAAAAAACACCGTATATCAACGCTGCGTGCAAAAATTCCAGTGGGATGCAAGTCAAACAATAACAACCATAAGACACATTCTTGGTTCTTTCGGTAAAGTCACGTAGAAGGGAAACAATAAAATAATAATTTTCTTGCTGTGGTTTTCACACCTGATGATGATTGCTTGTGTTGCAGTCGAAACGTCGTGAGAATTTAATTGTTTTATATTTGTATTATTTTATTGTTTCCCTTCTACGTGACTTTACCGAAAGAACCAAGAATATGAATCCCTGCAGTCACGAAAGCTTTAAATCAAAATTTAACCATAAGACAATTTAGATTAAAGTTATCAGGCTATGTACTTCAACAAACAAATATGGCTAAACCAAACGTTTTCGAAATCACCAAAATAAAGCTATAAAAGCAATGTAATAGTGATCATAGGAACTTGTGATTCAAATTTAACAATAAACGATCTACATAACATGTTCCGACCAAACTTTGCAACCATAGCTGGCAATATGAGTCACTCCATAACAGCAGGAGTATCAGTAGAAGTATAAAACATTTTCAATGCACCTTTAAAGATAGTTAAATATCGGCACACATTGCCCTTGGGTTTATTTTTTAAATGCTTCGATTAGCTTCATGTTTGGACCTCGTTGTCAAGCGTTATCGGGTAGAGCGGCTACCTGGACAATGGGCGGGGTTTGTTGAGGGGTGGGCGGGGCGGGTGCGAGTAGGGGGCGGGGCTATATTGAAGTGGATGGGACTGGCGTACAAAATCGAAAGGGGTTTTTTTTGGGGGGGGGGTTAGCTCGCTTAAATATAAATCTCTTTAAACTCGCCACATTCAGTTAGTAAGGTTAGTGTCACGTGGACAAACCTTACTAATTGCAACACTTAATTTTGTTTACGCGACAAAACCTTACAAATTGGCTGTGTGGTGGCTGGTTTACCCAAAAACAAAACAACCTTGTATGGATATTGGCCGCAAAAACCGACGTGTTAACAAAACGGGATCTTTTTTCCAGTATCAAAGAATGAAAAAAATAAGAATAGGTTCGACCCTTTCTGGCAATATAACAGGTGTTAAGATGTTCAAACACCAAATATAAACCTTTTGTTTAGGAATCTAAGTTATTGCATTAACCATACGTATTTGTGAACATGCAAACATGATCTTATGGCATTGAAACTGATATTGCCTACACCACACAGCCTTCGTTATGTTTTTCCCGACGTGTTAAACGGAGCTCCCCGTGTAAGCCGAACATTTTGGTAACCCTTTGTCAGTTTCATTTATTTGGTATAGCCCTGTGAGCCATTCGGCTTATTGAATCGGGTGCAACCGCAACAAACAAAAAAACACGTGAACAAGAAAACATTTTAAAGTGACGATGCGCAAACAGAAAAATCCAGGAAAAAAAACTGTAAAGTCTTCCAAAAAAAAAGCACCGTACACCAACACTGCAAAAATCCCAGTGGGATGCATGTCAAACAACAACAACAACAACCACAAGACAACTTAGATTAAAGCCATCATTCGAACTCCGTACTACAACAAACAAACATGGCCAAACAAAAAAAACGTTTTCGAAATCACCAAAATAAATCCATAAAAGCGATGTAACAATGATCGTAGGAACTGTGACCTAAGTTCCACAATAAACGACATAAACAACATGTGCCACCAAAACCTGTAGCCACAGCTGGCTGCACGAGTCACTCCACAACAGCAGGAGCATCGAAACATGTTTCAAATGCATCTTTAAAGATCAGCACACTAAACGCACCGGTAAAGGTCACGGTCCATGTCCAGGTCACGGCCACTGGACTCCCGTAGAGGTCACGGTCCATGACCGTGACCTCTACGGGAGTCCAGTGGCCTGAACTCAAAAATATATATCTATAGATGATGACCAACGCGAGAAATTATCATGTATTTTGATTAGAGTGTGGTGCTGCTGCTACCACTTGTTACTCCTGCTATTATGGATTGACTCATGCAGCTTGCGAAGGATGTTAGGTTTAACATTATGAGACCTCCTTTGCCAGAAACAAGATATAGGAATAGGTTTTACCCTTTTAACTGGCACAAAAACTGACACCTTTATTCAAGGCATCATGTTTGCAATGACCACAACACAAGCAGTCAAAATGCAAACAAAAAAGACAACTCTGATAATAATATGCACTGTCCTTGAATTTGATTGGTCCACACCCGAGACAGCTTTTCTTAGAGCCTAGTCTCCATTGGTGTTGGACCAGAAGACGCCAAAAGGCGTACAACTCAAAAACAGCGCACTATCAGAGTATTTTTGTGCCAGTTAAAAGGGTAAAACCTATTCCTATATCTTGTTTCTGGCAAAGGAGGTCTCATAATGTTAATGCTCACCCCGAGCCCTCAATACTCTGATAGTGCGCTGTTTTTGAGTTGTACGCCTTTTGGCGTCTTCTGGTCCAACACCAATGGAGACTAGGCTCTAAGAAAAGCTGTCTCGGGTGTGGACCAATCAAATTCAAGGACAGTGCATATTATTATCAGAGTTGTCTTTTTTGTTTGCATTTTGACTGCTTGTGTTGTGGTCATTGCAAACATGATGCCTTGAATAAAGGTGTCAGTTTTTGTGCCAGTTAAAAGGGTAAAACCTATTCCTATGTTAGGTTTAGTAATATATGTTATGTATGTCGCTATTGTTAACATTTCTTATGATCACTGTTACGTTGTTTTTATAGCATTAAATAAAATTAGATTAAAATAATTTTATTTTATTCATTTATTCCTATTTTATTTCTGCATACGTGGCTTTTCCGAGAAAAAAAACAATGAGTATAGTAATTTCTGCAGTCACGAAAGCTTCAATTCTAGATTTATAGTATTATTTTAGTAATTTCTAGAAAGGTTTAGGTTAGCCAGATTTTTTTTTTATGTAGTATAGAGTTGGACTTAAAATTTTAATCTAAATTGTATTGTTATTGTGATCTAACATCAAGATGGGATTTTTTTTTGCACAGTTTAGTACGCAACATAAACAAACGGTGCTTTTTTCTGGAAGATTTTATTCTTTTTGTAGGGGATGTCTCAATTTGTGTACAGTAAATTATAAATGTGTCTTGTAATTTTATTGTTTGTTGCGGTTGCACCCGAATCAAGAGCCGAATGGCTCACAGGGTTAATCCAAATAAATGAAACTGATGTTACACTTGTGGTTGGAACGTCATTATTTAAGTGATTTAACAAAAAAAACGCAATGCCTGAAAGTAAAAGCGCGACATCATCGGGGTAAGCGACCTGACAAGCGTGGTTCAACAACCAGCAGCGTTGCACACGCACTCCTAAGGGGCATCGGCCGAAACGTCGCCTTATTCTTTTGAGGCAGCGTTGTTGGCGATGATGATGTGGGGGGGGTAGTTGGGAGGTGGGGGGGTTGTGAGTCGAGGCGACACCCCTGGGTAAGATGGCGGCAGCGGTTGCATATACCGGATATGACGTCACAACGACTCGAGCCCGGTTTCTGCCCCCTCCCCCTATGCAAATCGCGCAGCCGCTAATATTTAATTAACTCCTCATAAACGTATTCTTGGGTATTTCGGTAAAGTCACGTAGATAGGTTCAAAGAAAATAACTAGGACAACAAGCTTTCCAAACATTGCTTCCATCCTTAAAAGCAGATTATTTAATAGTGCGTACATTTTGTTGTCCCCGCCGGTTTGTTAGTTAAAGGTCGCTGACGCGCAAGGGGTCACAGGTCAGAGGTGAGGCGCCCACGC